AAGGACAAAACGTCCTACGCAGCACTCCTCCGGAAAGTGAGAGAGGATCCGGAGTTGAAACAACTAGGCGAGAATGTGGTGAAAACCAGGCGAACCCAGAAAGGCGAGATGCTATTCGAGCTGAAAAGGGACCCTACGGTTAAGAGCTCAGCTTTTAAGGAGCTCGTCGAAAAATCTCTTGGCGAGACGGCGAACGTAAGAGCCTTATCCCAGGAGTCAGTGGTCGAGTGCAGGGATCTGGACGAGATCACAACAGAAGACGAGTTGAAAAGTGCGCTGAAGGTGCAATGCAACCTGGGAGACGTACCGATGGCAATTCGGTTGAGAAAGGCGTATGGTGGCACGCAGACGGCGTCGATACGACTTTCTTCGGACGCAGCTAACGAGCTGCTGAAGACTGGCCGAATCAAGGTTGGGTGGTCAGTGTGCCCGTTGAAAGCTATTCCTCGGGTATCTAAGAAAATGGAGAGATGCTACAAATGCATGGGCTTCGGTCACCAGGCGAGACACTGCAAAGGCCCTGACAGATCTGATCTGTGCAGGAAATGCGGAGAGAAGGGGCACGTTGCAAAAGACTGTACAAAGCAACCGAGGTGCATGCTCTGCAAAAAGGAGGACGGAAATGGCCATGTGACGGGAAGTTTCAGGTGCCCTGAGTTCAAGAAGGCGATGGTGGGCCAGCAATAATGAAGGTAACCCAAATAAATCTCAATCATTGTAACACAGCACAGCAACTGTTGTGGCAGTCAACAACGGAAACAAAGTGCGACGTTGCAATCATTGCAGAGCCATACCGAGTCCCTCTCGATAATGGTAACTGGGTGGCGGATAGAGCAGGAATGGCGGCCATACAAGTCATGGGCAGGTATCCCATACAACAAGTGGTGGCAAGCTCATATGAAGGTTTCGTGATCGCCAAAATCAATGGAATCTTTGTATGTAGTTGCTACGCACCCCCGAGATGGACAATTGAGCAGTTCCACCAGATGCTAGATGGGCTCACCGAAGAGCTCATTGGACGGACACCAGTCGTCATCGCAGGAGACTTCAATGCTTGGGCAGTGGATTGGGGGAGCAGATGTACCAACGCAAGAGGGTATAGCCTGCTGGAAGCTCTGGCAAAGTTGAACGTCAGTCTGGCCAACGAAGGAACCATCAGCACCTTCCGCAAAGATGGTAGGGAATCCATTATCGACGTTACTTTCTGCAGTACGTCGCTAATGGCAAATATGAACTGGACAGTGTGCGAGGAGTACACCCATAGTGACCATCAGGCGATCCGGTACAGTATCGGCGAACGAACACCGGTGGAAATGCGGAGGACGAAAGTAAGCGAGCGGAAGTGGAAGACGAAGGCATTCAATAAGGATCTCTTCATCGAAGCTCTAAGGGTAGACAACAGCGTCCCGGGCCTAAGCGCGAATGAGTTGACCGAATTATTAGCAAGGGCATGTGACACAACTATGCCGAGAAAACTGGAGCCAACGAACAGGCGGCGTCCAGCCTACTGGTGGAACGAGGAAATTAGCACCCTCCGTGCTACTTGTCTTCTAGCCAGAAGGCGTGCTCAGAGAGCAAGAACAGAAGCAGACAGAGAGGAGCGCAGGGTGGTGTTCCGAGAGGCCAGGGCTGCACTGAAACGAAAGATAAAGCTGAGCAAGTCAAATAGTTTCAAGGAGTTGTGCCGCGATGCCGATGCCAACCCCTGGGGCAACGCATACCGAGTTGCGATGGCGAAGATCAGAGGCCCAACGATGCCGGTTGAAATGTGTCACAACAAGCTGAAAGTCATCGTGGAGGGACTTTTCCCACAGCATGACCCAACGAACTGGCCACCTACACCATATGACGAGGTAGATGAAGACAACGTTGAACAAGTCTCCAACGAGGAACTCATAGCAGCAGCGAAAGGGTTGAAAGCGAATAAAGCTCCCGGCCCGGATGGAATCCCCAACGTGGCGTTGAAGGCGGCGATCCAGACGTTCCCGGACATGTTCAGGATGGTGCTGCAGAAATGTCTGGACGATGGTCAGTTCCCTGATAGGTGGAAGGTACAAAAGCTTGTGCTGTTGCCGAAGCCCGGAAAACCGCCGGGGGATCCTGCATCGTATAGGCCAATATGCTTGCTGGATACTGTAGGAAAGCTCTTAGAGAGGATCATCCTCAACAGGCTGACGAAATGCACGGAGAGTGAACACGGATTGTCGGAGAGACAGTTTGGATTCCGGAAAGGGAGATCGACGGTGGATGCAATTCGGACAGTGATTGACAGAGCCGAGAAAGCTTCCAAACAGAAGCGGAGAGGAAATCGATACTGCGCCGTGATTACGATCGATGTCAAGAATGCATTCAATAGCGCCAGCTGGGAGGCCATCGCCAAGGCGCTCCATAGAATGAGGGTTCCAGGCTACCTCTGCAGGATTCTAAGTAGTTATTTCCAGAACCGGGTCCTTGTCTACGTGACAGACACGGGGCAGAAATCGCTTAGAATCACGGCGGG